CTTTCTCTCATTAGACCACATTAGGCCTTGAACCAAGTTCAAAAGGATCTAATACACCTGATTGACCATAATTAATCACAATCATATCATATATTGAAATTTGGCCCTTCTACGGCCAATTTTCACAATTTACCAACTTAACATACTACGCTATTTCTCGGCATAACTTAGCCTACTCGGCTATTTCTCAACTCATACATACATATCCATAATACAATCTTAGCCCCCAAATTACTAATTCCTCATAATTTATCCTTTGGCTTAAGATTCATCAACACAAACAATCATTTCAACTTAAACATATTCAAATCAAAGCCCCTTTATCTCAAACAACACATATACACATAATTGGGCTTGATTTCATAAAAATTCAATTCAATACAAGCATGCAACCTATGGCAACTTATATACACTTATATATACAATCTTTCAATTCAGTTCATTACATAACCTCAAAGTACATGGCTTCTCAACTCAGGCCAGTCCAGACTCTCTTCCCTTGGCCTAATCACTTCCCAATCTTGTAAACATGTAACCACGAGGGTGAGATAAAAATCTCAGTAATAGAATAACTTACTTTTATTAACTATCACATGCAACAATATGAAAGTAAACATAGTATGTCATTAAAATCTCATAAAATAGTATTTATTTAACATATCTCATTTCATTTTCAACTTTTTATCGATCCTAAAGGATTCTGTGTTATTATAAGATATTTCATCATATCACATAAAATATTAACATGATCTCTACCAACCAAACCTCCAAATCACCCCGACATGAAACCATAGGCTCATCTCAGACTAATGTACACTCTCATTAGTCTTGAGCTCACTTACAGTGGTAGAATCACCCTACTAAAGATGTTCTAACGCACAATACAGACTATAGTTTTTTTCCTCAATATACACAATGGGGTTTCGTTAACCCTAACCTGTATCACAAAGATACTAAAGAGTCTTTCATCTCTAACATAGTATCTTAATAGGCATTCAGGAGATCTTCTCTAACACTGCACCTTTCAAGGCACCAAAGAGAATTGTTTCCAGCACTGCACCCTAACAGGGTACTAAGAAAACCTTGCCGTATGGTCTTTATCATCTCCTATACTCTCGGGTGAACTCTCACCACTCAGATCATGCTTTCCCAAACCATTTAAGGTTTCCTTTTCACAATTTACACTTTCTTATACATAACATATATATATAGCACTTTATATTACAAAACACAGTTTCAATGCTTATTTCGACTAAAAGTCATTTTACATACACAATCACTCAATGCCACAAAACATGCTCAATTCAAAACCAATTCATGCATTACATAGCATACTAACATACAATTACAATAAACAGTCAAACAAAGGAAGTTATTCAGTTACCTTAACCCTTCTATTACTAGAAAGGTTACCCGTGGATTTCCATTATTGTATAGGCTTGTCTCAAGCTTCCTTTCTCTACTCACTCGCCTAATATGCCAATCTGAACACATTTGACACATTTTAATCATTTGGTCTATTTTGACCAAAAACTCATTTTTACTATTTAGGGCTATATTCATCTGTAAACTCTTTTCCACTTATCCATTCTAAGTTTATAACTATCCAATTACTACTTTATATTACCTCGATCGGCCTTATTTCACTCAAGATAGATTTTTCCCTAACTTTCTCTCTCTAAAGGCTAAAATTGAGCCTTCGAGTTTAAAGTTCTACCATTCAGCTCTAAACCAGTCATAAAACTCTAATTTAACTTCCAAGGACCTTTTTTTCACTATTAGGCAAGAATCAAACCCCTCAAATTCCACCAATTCAATTTCCCTATAACTCAGTTTCAGAGAAATTTGTATAGAATGGAAGGTAAGAGTTATACGTAGTTTACTTGGTATGTTACCGATTCGAATCACCTTCTACCATTCTAAAATGACTTAACCTAGCTCCTTAGTCCTTCTCCTCTCTCTGTTTTGTGTGTTTCTCAAATTCTCGCCTATAAAATTTTTGAAAATTCACAACTTATGAAGTGAATTTCTAGTCCATGCACCATGACACATGCAACACAAGCCGTGACACGTGGTATAGTGAGATTCATTCTCACCACGTGCACTTGCTTCGACCCGAAACGTACTCCTATCACCCATAACTATTCATATAACACAAACAAGTCAAAATACCAATTAATTATTCAAATCTCTAATCCTACTTAAATTTCAACTTTACCCATGATTAACCTCTAAACTCAGGATTAAGAAATTCAGGATGTTACAGTTCTTCCCTCCTTTTAAGAATTTTGCCTTCAAAATTGATAAAGAGATAAATATATACCTATGGAAATAGGTGAGGGTATTGTTGTCTCATTCTATCCTTTGTCTCCTAGGTAGCATTACCAGGAGCCATGCCTCACCAGAAAACTTTAACTAATCGTATGGTCTTATTCCTTAACTACTTCTTTTTTACGTCTATGATTCGCTCTAGCTCAGCCTTATAAGTTAAATTCTCCTAGAGTTCAATCTCCTCTGGTTTTATCATGTGTGAAGGAATAGGTTGATATTTCTTAAGTTACGACACGTGAAACACCTCATACACACTCGATAACTGTGGTGGTAAAGCAATCCTATAGGTAACTAGTCCAATTCTCTCCAGAATCTCGAAATAACTAATGGATCTAGGAGTCAATTTCTTAGCTCTTATCAATCTCCTGATTCCTGTCATTGGTGTAACCCTCAGAAATACATGGTCTCCCACCAGGAACTCTAGGGGCCTTTTATGCCTATCTGCATAACTCTTTTGCCTACTCTGTGTCGTCAACAGCTTTTGCTTGACTAACTCAATCTTTTGAGTTGTCTGATCTATAATATCTAGTCCTAACATACTCCTTTCACTCAAATCTATCTAGCAAAGAGGCCATCTGTATTTTCTCCCATACAATGCTTCATACGGTGCCATTTGTATACTGGAGTGGTAACTGTTATTGTAACCAAATTCAGCTAAAGGGAGATGGCTATCCCAGCTACCTTTCAACTCCAATACACATGCTTTTAGCATATCCTCTAAAGTCTATATAGTTCATTCTGTCTGCCTATCTATTTATGGATTATTTGCTGTACTAAATCTCAACTCTGTACCCATGGCACACTGTAAAGCTCCCCAAAACTTAGAAGTATATCTTGGATCTCTATCAGAAATTATACTCTTCGACATACCATGTAACCTTACTACTTCTTGAATATAGATCTCTACCAACTTTTCTAGAGAATCACTAATCTGAATAGCTAGGAAATGAGCCGATTTAGTAAGTTTATCGACTATAACCCAAATGGCATCATGTCCAATTTGAATTCTTGGTAATCCAGTTATAAAATCCATTGAAATGCTCTCCCATTTTCACATACGAATATCCAACAGTTGCAACATTCCTACTAGTCTTTGGTTCTCTATCTTAACCTTTTGACAGGTCAAACACCAAGTCACAAACTCTGTTACGTCTTTCTTCATACTAGGCCACCACCAATACTGCTTCACATCCTGGTACATCTTTGTAGCTCCCGGATGGATCGTGTATTTGCTACAGTAAGCCTCATTCAAGATAACTTTTCTTAAATCATCATCATCAAGCACACAAATCCTATCCCGATAAACTACCAAAACCATCATCACTGAATCTAAAATTAGTAGCTTGATCTGCTTCAATCTCTTCTCTAACCCTTAAGAGATTTTCATCTTCTAGTTGTGCCATTCTCAATTGCTTTCAGAAATCATCGCTAATCTTAGTAGAATAGGCACCAACTAATGCCTTCAATGGCTCATCCTGCTGTGACTCCAAGAACGACTCCATCAATTTATATTCCTTGACCATAAGACTTGCCACATGCAAAGTCTTCCAGCTTAAAGCATTAACAACCACATTAGCTTTACCCGAATGGTATTTCAATTCAAAGTTATAATCTTTAAGAAGCTCCATCCACCTTCTTTGTCTCATATTTAGTTCCTTTTGATCCACCAGGTATTTCAAACTCTTATGGTCGCTAAACGCAATGAACACTGCACCATACAGGTAATGGCGCCAAATCTTCAGAGCAAATACCACTATTGCAAGCTCTAAATCATGCGTAGGATAATTCTCCTCATGTGGTCTCAATTGTCGTGAAGCATAGGCTACCACTCGACTGTCTTGCATCAAGATACAACCAAGACCTTTCAAAGACGCATCTGTATATACCTCGTAAGGTAACCTTGGATTAGGGATAATTAATACTGGTGCTATGGTTAATTTCTCTTTCAGCTTCTGAAATGCCACTTCATACTAGTCGTCCCATATATAAGGCTGATCTTTTCAAGTTAGTTTAGTCAAAGAAAAAGCTATTTGGGAAAATCCTTGGGTAAATCATCGATAATACCCAACTAATCCTAGAAAATTATGTATCTCTGTGATTGAACTAGGACGTTCCTACTTTAACACTGCATCAACCTTATGCGGAACCACTAAAATTCCTTCTGTAGACATCACGTGTCCCAAAAATCTCACTTCTCTTAACCAAAACTCACACTTATTGAGCTTGGCATACAACTTTCTATCTTTCAAAATCTACAGTACTATCCTTAAATGCTTTATATACTGCTCCTCATTCTCAGAATAGATCAGGATGTCATCTATAAAGACCACTACAAACTAATTCAAGTACGGCCTAAAGATTTGGTTCATATAATCCATGAATAATGCTGGCACATTGGTCAAACTAAATGGCATAACCAAAAATTCATAATGGCCATACCGAGTTTTGAAAGCTATCTTGGGTACATCTACTGCAGTAACTCTCAATTGATGATACCCCAACTTCAAATCAATCTTAGAAAAGACTGAGGCACCAGTAAATTGATCTAAAAGATCATCTATCCTTGGTAGAGGATACTTGTTCTTCACAGTTACCTTGTTCAGTTGCCGGTAATCGATGCACAGTCGCAAACTGCAATCCTTCTTTCTCACAAACAATACTGGTGATTCCTAAGGTGATACACTTAGTCTGATGAATCCTTTCTCTAACAAATCTTCAATCTGCTTCTTTAGCTCAGCCAATTCAGACGATGACATTCTATAAAGAGCCTTTGATATCGATTCAGTTCCAAGAACTAATTTAATTGAGAACTCAACTTCCCTTTCAAGAGGTAATCCAGTCATCTCTTCTGAAAGTACCTCTGGGAACTCACTTACCACCCCAATCTTCTCAATCCCACTATCATACACCATGCTGGCTGTAAAGAATACCATATAGGCATCACAACCTTGCCGGATTAACTTCTCAGTACTTACTACCAATAGAAACTTAGGTTGCTCTGAAGATTCCACAGCTACACACAACACTAGTAATGAAACTACTCTTTTGGCACAATCAAGCATAACATTATTTGCTGCTAGCCAATCCATGCCAATTATCACATCTATTCCTCTCATAGGAATACAAATCTGATCGATCTTGAAAACTCTATCCTCAAATCAAATCTCCACATTTTGACAAGCTTGACTTGTAATACTAGATGATCCAGAAGGTGTGGTTACTTTAATGAGCATAGGTAATTCTTGTAAAGATAATTTTAATCTATCCACACATTCTTTAGACATAAAAGAATGGGTGGCACCAGAATCAAATAATGTATCTACTTTGTGACCATTTACAGAAATCATACCTCTGATCAGATTCGGAGATCCTCTGTCCTCTTCTTGTGTAACTGCAAATACTCAGCCAAGAACCATTAATCTCTACTCAGTCCCCTCAACTCTGCCCTCTGGGCATTGCCTTATTATATGACTCAATTTACCACACTTGTAGCAAGCTCAACATCTTCTCGAATGAGATTTATTGCATATATTACACTGGGGCATCCTTCCAGTACTTAAAGTCAGAGTTGGAACATTCGACGCTTGCCTTGAAGACTGTGAAGCCCAATTCTCACATCTCCAACCCTCTGCATTGACCCTCTATGCACAGGTCAAGATTGCAATCCTCAACTGAAACCTCTTCTTCCAGAAGAATTGAAACTACTTGTACTGAACCTAATCCTCTTTGAGATTCCACTAGTCGGATCTATTGGAGATGAAAATCTTCCCATACTATCTCATCTCCTTTCAATATCTGCCTCTCTACCACACCTAGCTGCTACCCTCAGCTTATGGCACATCTCCTCATACGTCATCACATCAAGCAATTCTATCTGTTGTCGGTATTCAGTCTCATCTTTTCAAGTAATCTCTCAGCTTTCTACTTTGAGTCATTATTATGTTGGAGATATGTGGAATAAGCTAATAAGTCATTAAATCTTCTTATAAATTCTTCCTCGTCTAGGTCTCCCTGCCTGAAAGCATGAAATTCCTCTTCCTTCTCAGTTCTGAATGAGACTAAAAAGTGTTGATTAAAGAATATTCTCTTGAACTCATCCCAACTTAAATGAATAGCCAGTTGGTCTCATAGATTCCTACCATCTCTTAGTAGAACTAACTAACTGCACCATGGTTAAGATAACTTTCTACTCCGAAGTATAGATTGCCACCTCAAAGATGGTTTCCATCCGTTCTATCCATAATTCTACTTCACCTTTCCTCATACTTCTGTCAAATGTCGGTGGATGGAACCGAACAAACATCTTTCAAGCACGATCAATAGATAGATCAGTGCCAGCAATCTCTAGTCTACTACCTAAATTCTGAGATAGTCCAGGTCTACTATGTGCATCCTGCATTAGGATATTCTGAGCTTCAACTCTCTCTTTTTGCTCTCTACCCTTTAAGATCGTGTCATGATCCTCAACAGTTTGTCTTATGGCAACCACCATATCCTTGAGCTCTTCTAGTAGCTCATCACATCTATCCCTTTGCAGCTGAACTGGTTGAACTTTCGGCTCCTGTTCCTCCTCTACAACTTGTCTAGATACTACAGTTCTCACACGAGTGCCTCTCATACCATACTATTTTCTCCCTTCCTAAGGATGAAAAGATGAAAGACAAAGGGCATCAGGGAAAAAGTTATGTAATGAACAATATAAGTTGCCATATGTCTAAATGAATACATCAGTAACAATCAGGTCTCAAAAATTGAGAAACTGATACCAAAATGTAACCTCCTCCTATATCCGCTTAATATAGAAGAAGATTACAGTGTTACCCTTATCTCACATCATTCACAATAATCAAATTTTATTTTCAAAAGCTTCAGCCCAAGACTTAATTTATAAAATCAATTAAATCACAATACAATTAGAGAAAACACAACAGAAATAATTCATGCACTTGATTGCATAGTAGACATAACCTACCAGCATTTCTATCTCAATTGCATGCTACCCAGCACACAAAATAGAACTGAATTTTAGTTCGTGCACCGCGGTGGACAGTTAGTACACTGCGGTATATGGCACAGAGCCATACGCTCACCTTGTCTATGTCATGTGCCGTGGCATGTACCTCCATGTGTTGTGGAGTGCCTGTCCGTTTTTTGCTGTCATTTTGATAGCAAAAATAATGAACTTTCGGCATGTGCCAATTTCTCATATGACATCCGATCGGAGTGACTCAAGCACCCACATGAAGCTTAGCTCGTATACTAACTAATGAGATAGGTTTGGACACGATCTAACGGTTCGATCAAAATTTAGACACCCAGGTGTAAAAAGTCACTTTTTCTCAAAAATTTTGTGTACCCAAGTGCTCAAATCGATCTCTTTCTCTCATTAGACCACATTAGGCCTTGAACCAAGTCCAGAAGGATCTAATACACTTGATTGACCACAATTAATCATAATCATACTCATATTTCAAAATTTGACCCTTTTACAACCAATTTTCACAATTCACCAACTTAACATACTATGCCATTTCTCGGTATAACTTAGCCTACTTGGCTATTTCTCAATTCATACATATGCAATCATAGCCATAATACAATCTTAGCCCTTAAATTACTCATTTCCTCATAATTTGTCCTTTGCCTTAAGATTCACCAACATAAACAAACATTTCAACTCAAACATATTTAAATCAAAGCCCTTTTATCTCAAACAATACATATACACATAATCGAGCTTGATTTCACAAAAACTGAATTCAATACATGCATGCAACCTATGGCAACTCATATACACTTATATATACAATCTTTTAGTTCAGTTCATTACACAACCTCAGAGTACATGGCTTTTCATTTCATTTTTAACTTTTCATCGATCCCAACAAATTCTGTGGTATCACAAGATATTTCATCATATCACATAAAATACTAGATCTTTGCCAACCAAACCTCCAAATCACCCCAAGATAAAACCATAGGCTCATCTCAGACCAATGTATACTCTCATTAGTCTTGAACTTACCTACAGTAATAGAATCACCTGGCCAAAGATGTTCTAACGCACAATACGGACTATGTTTTCTTCCCTAATATACATAATGGGGTGTTGTTGACTCCAACCCCGTATCACAAATATACTAAGGAGTCTCTCATCTCCAACATAATACCTTAATAGGCATTCAGGAGATCTTCTCTAACACTGCACCTTTCAAGGCACTAAAGAGAATTGTTTCCAACACCGCACCCTAACAGGGTGCTAAGGAAATCTTGCCATATGGTCTTTATCATCTCCTATACTCTAGGGTGAGCTCCCACCACTCAGATCATGCTTTCTTGAACCATTTAAGGTTCCCTTTTCACAATTTACACTTTCTTATACATAACATATATATATATAGCACTTTACATTACAAAGCACAATTTCAATGCTCATTTCGACCAAAAGTCATTTTACACACATAATTACTCAATGCCACAAAACATGCTCTCAATTCAAAACCAATTTATGCATGACATAGCATACTAATATACAGTTACAATAAATAGTCAAACAAAAGAAGTTATTCGATTACCTCAACCCTTCTATCACTAGAAAGGTTACCCGTGGATTTCCATTATCGTACAAGCTTATCTCAAGCTTTCTTTCTCTACTCACTCGCCCAATATGCCAATCTGAACACATTTGACACATTTTAATCATTTGGTCTATTTTAACCAAAAACTCATTTTTACTATTTAGGGCTATATTCATCCGTAAACTCTTTTCCACTTATCCATTCTAAGTCCATAACTACCCAATCACTACTTTACATTACCTCGATCGGTCTTATTTCACTCAAGATAGATTTTTCCCCTAACTTTCTCTCTCTAAAGGCCAAAATTAAGCCACCGAGTTCAAAGTTCTACGGTTCAGCTCTAAACTAGTCACAAAGCTCTAATTTAACTTCCAAGAACATTTTTATCACTATTGGGAAAGAATCAAACACCTCAAATTCCACCGATTTAATTTCCCTATAACTTATTTTCAAAGAAATTTGTGTAGAATGGAAGGTAAAAGTTATACGTAGCTTACCTGGCAAGTTACCAATCCAATTCACCTTCCACCATTCCAAAATGACTTAACCTAGCTCCTCAGCCCTTCTCCTCTCTCAATTTCATGTGTTTCTCAAATTTTCTCCTTTGAAATTTCTGAAAATTCATGACTTATGAAGTGAATTTCTGGTCCATACACCGTGGCGCATGCAGCACAAGTTGCGGCGTGTGGCACAGTGAGATTCATTCTCACCACGCACACTTGCTTCAACCCAAAACGCACTCCTATCACCCATAACTATTCATACAACACACAAACAAGTCAAAATACTAATTAATCATCCGAATCTCTAATCCTACTTAAATTTCCACTTCACCCATGATTAACCTCTAAACTTAGGATTAAAAAATTTAGGATGTTACAAACTACTCTTTGAAAAATGCAACTTCTTGACATTGAAGATAAAGGAAAAGATGACAATGAAGACTCTGTCAGTTTTACAACTCTAACCACTTTAACAATACTAAGTGCTTCTTAAAGGAAAAATAAAGCAACTAGTACTAGACCTACTATTATTCTAAGCTCCTTACTACTTGCAAATGAGAATAACATCTAAATTGATCCTGTCAAAAAGGCAATAGCTTCAAAATAGGTTCAAAACCATAAAGAGAAAACCACTCTCTTTTTAGTAAAGCTTCAAGATGCTATCTCCTTCTTATCGGTATCATCTATTTCAATTTTTTTTCTTTAACTTAATTCGTTATACTGATACCTATTTATTCATTATTGTGTTTGTGTTTCTCTTGATCATATTGATATAAACTGATTTATACCAATATCAAATGTCATCATACCCATATGAACTTCTTCATACAGATATAAATTCCTTTCTTACAATGTCTTTTTTTGTTTTTCATCTCGGTATATGTTTTTTCCTACCTGTATGAGATTCAAGCTCCCTTTTGTCTCACATTCATACTCATACTGGTACCAAACTCTTTGTTGTCATATAAAGATGAAGATTTCTATAATATTTTTCACATACCAAAATAG